TTTATAAATTTAATATAATACCTTTTGAATTAACTAATACTCTTGCTACTTTCCAATAAGTAATGAATAAACTCTTTGCTAATCTAAAGGAAAAATATGTTTTAGTATATTTAGATGATATTACTATCTACTTTCCAACTTTGAAACAACATCTTAAACATATTTCTGAAGTTTTTTCTCATTTAAAATAAGCTAGTCTTAAACTTAGAAAGAATAAATATTATTTTAGAAAGCAAAAACTTGCTTTTTTAGAACATATAATTGGAGAAAATGAAATTACACCTGATCCTGCTAAGGTTGAAAAAGTCAAAAATTTTCTATACCAAGAAATCTTACTAAACTTAGAGGATTTATTGGACTTGCTTCATATTATCGAAGGTTTATTCCAAATTTTGTTTATATAACTGAGCCTTTAAACAAATTATTAAAAAAGGATATTATATATAACTAGACTAATTCATATCAGGAAGCAATAAATATTTTAAAGGAAAAATTAATTACTACTTCAATCTTGCAATATCCTAATTTTGAAAAACCTTTTATTCTTTATACTGATACCTTATATCAAGAACTAGGTACTATTCTATCACAAAAAGATAATAATAATAATAAATATATAGTAGCCTATGCAAGTTGTACTCTTAGACTTGCTAAAATTAACTACTCTTCTACTAAAATTGAATATCTTGTAGCAGTTTGGAGAATAGAATATTTTTGACCATATATTTATATGCAGTCTTTTAATCTTATTACTGATTATTCTGCTTTAAAATAGTTACTTAACTAATCTAATCCTAATAAATGAGTAAACTACTAGATCTAACAAATCTCTAACTATTCTTATACAATATTACATCACAAAGAAAAAATATATTCTAATATAGATGCACTTTCTAGAATTCCAAAGGAACTATTCTGAAGAAACAACAATTTAACAAATCTAACAAACTCTACAAACTCTATTAAAAATAGAACAACAACTTTACTTGAATATCTTTAATTATTTAACTAATTTAATTCTACTAACAAATCTAACTACACAAAAACAAAAACAATTTTTAAAACAAATTACTTATTACCATAGACTACTGTATACAGTATTCGGGATCTTATTCAAAACTTCTATCTTTAAAATTGAATAGTACCTGTAGGTACTGTGTAAAGAACTAGATACTATTTGAGGGAGGATATACTATATCAGGAGATATTGTATGCAAGAGTCTTATATAAAGATAATCATATGTTGCACTAATGTAAGAATATATATAAGTATCTAAATAACTAGCCGAATACCCAAAAATGTAACAAAGATAAACACTACTTTGACTCCTTGGATCGTTGAAATAAAATATATTAGCAGAGGCATTTAGCAAAAAATATACTTAGACCTCCCTATATTTTAAATATATTTGGCTTATAGCGTCTTGTAATAGTCTTAGGTGTATTGACATATAAAAAAAAACAAAAAAAAAAAACAAGTCACTCTCATTATACGTAGTTAACTCTTGATATAATCGAGAGCTTTATTAGTAAATTTACTATATCAAGAGAATTTTATATAGACTGGCTTTGAGCTTAACTTCACTATATCATGTCTTCAAAATTTTTAAATAATTTTTATTAATAGAACAGATCACTTCACTATAATAAGAGTGACTTGTATATATTTATATATGTTTGGCTTGGGATTGAAAGGGAAAAGTAGTAGTGAAAACTCTTTGCAGAAATACCACCATGATATTTTTTTTTATTTTTAATGAATAGTTTAAAACTTTATAAAAATACCACAATCAATTCGTCTGTTTTTTTTTTTTTTTTTTTTTATTACACAGAATACATCTTTATTTGTCTGTTTTTTTTAAGTAAGTACTTATATTTTTTTAAAAGAGAAAGCAGTAGCAACATTTTACATAACGCTGCTTTAACCTATCTGAATCTTAGAAATAATTGACTTAAGAAAAAAGTAAGATCAGAAAGCATAGGTAAGAACTTTATTAGAATACTGCTTTTAATTTACCTTTATTTTTCTAATAACCAATTTGGTTCTAGTGGAGGAAAAGACTTCTAAAGTATGCTTTTGGAAGCAGCGAAAGAATAGAAACTAGTATAGGTTAAGACATTATTTTAAAAGAGAATGTTTATAGATTTAAATAAATTAGCAAGGTATTATGGTTAAGGCTGATTCTGTATTACTAGATGCACCTCGTGACTATATAAAAAACACAAAACTTTTTCAGATCAATGCTGTACCTATAAATTTTATAAATTTAGCAGTTCAAAAAGAAAAAAAAAAATGCCAAAAGGAAACTTTAAAGTACAACAAGCAAAAATCTCACAAAAAAAATACTGACAATGGAATGCTCGTGAGAAGTTGATAGTTGTACTTTACTAAGAAAATGGATATAGCATTTGGGCAATAGCAAATAAATATGAAATTGAACTGAAACAAGTTTGCGACTAGAAGAAAAAAAAATATGACTTGATGCGTGTAGCACTCTATATTCAACGACTCAATATTGAAGCATGACCTAGGTATCCACAACTTGAGAATGAATTTTTGAAGTGGTTTTGTGAATTAAGAAGGTAGCTGAAAACAGTGACCAGATATATGATTAGTACAAAAGCTCATAATATTGCTACTAAACAAGAATATCATATCTTGTATTCTGATATTCATGAGTGTAAATTTTCTCATAAGTGGGTTGATGGTTTTATATTTTGCTATTTGTTAGTTAACCGCAGACACACTACAATTGCTTAACAATTGCCTGAAGAATATGTTGAAGAACAACAAAATTTTTTATCTTATGTTTTGTATCTGCGAACTGAACATAATTACCCTTTAAACTTAATTGGAAACATGGATGAAACCCTAATAGCATTTAATATGCCAAGTCAAACAACTGTTGCTTAGAATGTGGAATATGAACCATTTTAACTCTTACAACAAGCCATGAATGTACCTATTTTACAGTAACCCTTGCTTGTCTTGCGGATAGTACTAAACTTCCACTACTTATTATTTTTAAATTAGTAAATATGCTCCGAGAACAGTTTCCAGATAGTGTATATGTTCGTGCAAATCCAAGTAGCTGGATGAATGAGAAAGAAATGATTTGGTGAGTAAAAAATATGTGGCGTCAAAGAGTTAATTTAGGCTCAAATTCACGTTCACTTCTAGTTCTTGATTTATTTTCTGCTCATATAATAGATTCTGTAAAGTGTCATTTTAAGAAAAGAAATACAGATATCATTGTTATTCCTAGTGAGCTGACCTCACGTTTACAACTGTTGGATATGTCTTTAAATAAAGTATTTAAAGCAAAGGTTAGTGTAAAAATTAAGTAAATTGAGTTTAGTATGAAATATGTAACTTAGCACAGCCCTATAACAAAAGTTTGTTCAGTTCTTGTTCAGTTTTTGTCGATATTGTTGAACAATATTGACAAAAACTGAACAAGAACCGAACAAACTTTTTTTATAGAGCAGGTGTATTATGACTAGTGATAGGTATAAACATATATGATATCATGCTTTTTTCTCATCACTAGTCATGATATACTCCACCTGATCAAATTCAAGATCAGGTATTAAAATTTTTTTTGCTTATATATATATGTTAACTACATAATCACAATAGCATAAAATTAAAAAACTACTTATTTTATTAATAGGTCTGCTATACTTACAACTAGTAGATAGATAAAGCTATTAAGGAATACATACTAATAGGTAAAATTAAACGTCTATCATACTTAGTAGTGACAAAATAGATTAAGGAAGCGTAGGATAATATTGATCCTGCTATAGTATAATAATCTTTTAAATATTATGGAATTTCCTCTGAAATAGATAGCTCTAAAGATAGTTCAATTTTTGATTTTGGGAAAATCTCAGATGAAAAAGGAAGGATTAGTATCAAAGAAGAGAAAGAAAGTAATGAATTAAGTCCAGAAAGTGCAGAAAATGAAAATGATAAAAATGATCATGAACACAAGTATTGTGAATACTATGAAGGTGAAGAAGGAAATTACATTAATATTTGGAATTAATTAATCACAAAACATAGATTAAAAGTAGTTATCTAGCAAATCAGATAACAAAAAAAATTTGGAGAATCTACTAAAAGTTGAATATTAACAAAAAATATAAAAAAAAAAAAAAATCAATTTAGGTGTATCAATTCAAAAATTTTAGTAATTGTAAAGCTCTCAATATATAATTTTACTATATTAAGCTTGGTGAAGTTAATTTCTGTTTTTATAATCTGGCTAAGCTTATTTTGTAAATATTGAAAATAAAGTTTATGATACTCTATTGTATTTCCAGGTGAACTTTTTCAAAAAAATTAAAATTAAAATCTCAGTTTGTGAATCACTTAAAATTTAAAATACAAAATTCAATTTCTTTCTAACTTAGGCTGTTTGAATTTAAAAATTCATTTAACGTTTCCTCCTCCCCTCTACCACTGGAGCTCCACCTTGACATTAAACAAGCCAATAGAAAATGAGTATAAAAATATAAATAAATCAAAAAAAACCTCAGGTATAAATGAACCCAAATCAGGTATAATTTGAACCTAATTTAGACCTAAATTTGGGTCTGTTTAATTTTATTGTTTAATTTTCTCCCTCCTCCCTTCAAGAAAATATGAAAAAAAAGAACGTTAAACGAATCTTTAAATTTAAATGGCCTTAGTTTAAAACAAATAATTTATTTAATCATGGTAAATTATAGTAACAATAAAGTGTATTGACTTAAGCTATATAAGTTTTATGCAAAATATACACTGGGTCTACTTTGTGCAGAGGGCATACATATTATTTTTTTAAATAATATTATGGTAAATTATTATTATTTTTAGTACCTGGGTATTATTTAATTTTTATAAGGACTAACTTTGAAAAGTACTCAGGATACTACCTATAGCCTGACCATCATAAATAGTGAATAATACCAGGGTCTTAATCATAGGGAATACTATTTTGTGGGGGTACTGTATATAATAGTCTATAGTATATAGTTATTGAAGGACAATTATTTAGGAAACCTAAAGAATCACTACAAAAAGCTCTTAAAGTAATATAATAACAGGAATTAGATACTGTTTTGTATAATCTCTATACTAATCTTCTTGCTAGACATTTTGATATCAATGGAACCTATAATCAAGCTAAAACAAAATATTATTAGCCTAATATATATAAAAGTATCACTCAATATATTCAATCCTGTGATACTTGTCAAAGGCAAGGACAACTTTGAGCTAATGAACTTTTGTATCTAATCTAGTTAGAAAACCTTTTGACTGAATTAGAATTGATATAGTTAAACCTCTTAAAGTTACCCCTAATAATAATTAATATATTATTATAGCTACTGAATATCTTACTAAATAGCCAGAAGCTAAAGCTATTCTTGATATAAAAGCTACAACAGTTGCTAAATTTATTTATAATGAAATAATTTCTCAATATAGATGTTCTAAGGAACTTCTCTCTGATCAAGGAACTTCCTTTTGCAATGAGTTAGTTGACTCTCTTTATCAATTAATAGGAACTAAGCATCGTTTAGCATCTGCTTATCACCCTCAAACTAATGAACTTACTGAACATTTTAACAAAACTCTATGTACAATATTTGCTAAATATGTTTGTGAATATAAAGATTCATGGGATACTTTTATCTCAGCTACTCTTTTTGTATATCGAACTATACCTCAGTTAACTACCAAATATGAACTATTTGAATTGTTATATAGAAGGAAAGCTAATACTCCTCTTGACTTACAAATAATTCTACAACAATCTATTGAGGAGCCTCTATATGAACAACAACTTCAAAATCATATTGATTATAATATATGAGTTACAACAAGTCTAATTAAAAGCTAAACAAAATATTAAAGTTGTTCAAGGAAAACAAAAGGAATATTATGATGAATCTATAAAGGAAAAACAATTTTATATAGAGGACAAAGTATTATTATATCAATCAGCTCAAGCTAAAGTTCATAATAATAAATTTCATGAAAAATAGAAAAAACTATACTATATTCATAATATTATTATACCTGGAGTATACAAATTAAGGACTATAGACTGAAAAGTTTTTAAAAAAACAGTAAATGCCAATTGATTAAAATTTTATTTTGAATAACCTTTATAGGAACCTATTATTACTATTGAATAATTTTTTATTCATTTTATTTTATTTTTTACAAAAAAATAATTATCTATTATTTTTTTAATCCTTCTTTCTTGTATTTCTCCTTGCTTCTAATTCATTTTCTAAATTTTCAATATGAACTCTCAATCTAGTTTTTTTGACAACTAATCTGTTATATCATTGTTCTCTTTGCTAATTATTACTCACAATTTCTACTGCAAGCAATCTTATCTCCTCTATTTTATCTTCCAAAACTTGAATTCTTTCTTACAAACTTTGTATTTATCTCAACAATCTATTAAATAATATTATTATTAATTTTTTTTTTTTTACTTATCATTCTATTATTATTATCTTTCCTATTTACCTTCTATTCTTACTTTGAAGTATATCAACTGCTTCAAACAAAGCATAATTACTATATCTCCTTTAAGAATACATTGTTCAATAAGTTCTTTTTCCTATTTCTTTTTATCTTTTATTTCTTTTTCTATTATTATTATTTATATTATTATTAGTTATATTCTTATTGTTAAAAAAAAAAAAAAAAAAAATATTTTTTAACAATATATATACATATTTTTATTTTTATTTTTATTTTTTTTTTTATTATTAAGGTGGCTCCCTTTGCTGATTAGATTTTATTAATTTGTTATTACAGAACTACTCTAAAGTAGACTCCTAAGGTTTTATAGTTATATGATGAGTGTACAACAAGCCACATATACAACTTTAGTCATTGTCTAATTTAAGTAGTCCGCCATACAAACGATCGACCATCTGTTAGTTCTACACTATGCTGCCATACCTGCAACCTGCCTGTGGATTACCTATTTAAACACTCTGATCATTAATCCTTCCCTCTATTCCAAACTAACGTCACTACTATGGCCAACCGCTTAAGCTAGCCGGCTCACCTGTAGATCTATTTACCGCATGACTTAGGTCCTCTTAGAATGCGTATGCCCAATGTATTGTGAGCTACAGAGCTTCAGTTAACCTCAGAAGCATACCTACTAGAGCGGTCCATGTCCATTTCATAGATTCACTTAGCTTAGACCCTTTTAGATGTTCACACAACCCCAGTTCCTACTGTAGCTCTCCACTGGTGTGTGTTAATCAATTTCTCTAGATGTTTTACGAAGTAAATCCTCCCAAATTCAGTTAGCCGCCAAGCCAGGTTAGTGCTGCTGATCTTTACCACTGATATAGACTTACTCACACCTATCCCGATCTACATCCTTTGAAATAGTTTCTTTCTGGATCAAGCATTAGCTAGTGTGACCGTTGAAAGCCATACTACTTTACCTACTTGAGATTTCTACCATGCAGATCTCCTACCTGTACATCTAATGCAGATTTATTCATGTAACATTATGTCACACTTCCAATGTTAACGATTGACTTGATGCAACGCCATTTTTTACAGGGTTTTGTCATATCCTCCAGGACTCCCTTTTCGGGAACAGGCAGAGTTTTCCATAAGTTTGGTACACAGGTCTAGGTATTATTCAAATTCGTCGACAGTGGGATTTGAACTTCAGACCTATTGCATAGCGGTCTGACAACCTGACCACTATACTAGGTCACCGGACCTTTATACATATTTTTATTTCTTTTCTTTCAATTTATATATATATATATTTTTTTTTTTTTATCTCTCTTTATCTTTTATATTTTACAAATTTTAACCCCTTATAATCAAATACTAAATTCAGTAATTTTGATTGTTAAAAGAAGTAATATTAAAATTTTTTATAACTAATTATTATAGTAGAGTGGTTGAGGCGTATAACTATTGCTAGCAGTTGTGGGTTCGATACCTGCTAATAGACTGTTAACTCTGCTGACAAGTCACGATAGCAGTATCTGCACTATAATAGTAATATTTTTATTTTATTTTTATAATTTAAAAAATTATTTTGAAGTTTTAGAGAACCTCACTTTTTAAGGAAGGAAAGATATAATAATATTTATATTATTATTATATTTTATTATTTAGTTATATTTATTATTATATTTTTTTTTTTTTTTTAATTTCAACTCGTGGGTTGAGGTGAGGTCTTGCCTCTATCTTTATTGGGTAAAATATAGTTAAGAGTTCACATGAAACTACTTGGTA